TTGTTTTTCTGTTTTGTTTTGTTTTGTTTTGTTTTGTTTTGTTTTGTTTTTAAATTGTAGAGATGAGGAAGAGTACAGCCAGAGGTACCTGGAAGAATCCAGAGCAGAGAAAGAAAGCATTAGAGCGAACATGGCCATCAGCCTGGACCAGTCCGTGAGAGGAGAGGTGGCAGAGAATAAGAGAGAAAGACAAAGAGAGTGAAGGCAAAGGAGACTAAGAGATAGGAGTAAGGGAGAGGGGACCAAGAGAAAGCACAGCTGGAATAGTGAGGTTATAAGGGAATGAGAAGCTGGGGGAGGGATGCCGGTGAGTTGGAGGTAGTTAGGGTAGGAGGGATGGGTTAGGAGGGATGGGTAAGAAGAGCTGAGAAGGCCTACAGGTACCTGTGACACTAAGAGAGCCCGGAGGGCAGCATGCACTTTGGTTTGGTAGTAGGCACCACACAGAGCCTTTTGTTGCTTCTGAGCATGATAAGGAAACAGCTCTTTTGGTAGAGAGGAATGGGTGCCAGAATTTTGGGGAATTTCCTTTGGACCTTACAATAGGCAGCTAACCCTTTCTGGAAGGGAGTCATGGTCTCTGTTTAAGTAAATAACCCTCTACCTAAGCTCACAATATAGTGGGCCAAAAAAAAGGAAAAAAAAAAAAAAAAAAAGAGAAAGAAACCCAGAAGAGGGTCTTGGGAAATAGAAGGGGTTCTGGGGTTCTGTGAGAGGGATAATGAGTAAGAGAGGATAATGGAGGTGGGAACTGTGATCACAGAACATTATAAAACCATGAAAGAATAAATTTAAGAAGAAATCATGTATCGCAACATGAGCCCATAAATTGGCAATTCTTTTCCCTTCCATTTTGTTTTCAGAGTATAGCCCCTGGAGGACTTCTTGGTTTATGAAGTACCTTTACTAGGGCCTCCTGTTCTGCTGGGCACAGCTTTGCTGATATTCCTTTCCCTGTCTCTGCCTTGACCCTCAACCCTGAGCTCAGACACCGTGACTATCGACTTCAGGAACAGTGGTTTTCAACCTTCCTACTGCTATGAACCTATAATACAGTTCCTCAGGTTGTGGTGACCCCCAACCTTAAAATTATTTTTTTGTTGTTACTTCATAACTGGAATTCTGTTACTGCTATGAATCTTCATGTAAATGTCTGTGCTTTCTGATGGTTTTAGGCAACCCCCCGTGAGAGGGTCGTCCAACTCCCAAAAGGTGTTGTGGCTCGAGGGCTGAAAACTACTGCCATGGCTCCCATAACTGTGGCAGGATCAAAGGGTTAGCGAAGACTTACCGCAAGAACCTCCTTTTATCACTCTTGTGACGTCTACATTGCTATCAGTTTTTGAGGCAGTGTCTTACCCTGTAGTCCAGGCTGACCTTGAACTTTCTATGCATGCTGCTGGCTTTGAACTCCTGATTGCTTGAACTCCCAATTGCCGTGCTTTGGCCTCCCAAGTCCTGGGACTATATAGGTGTGTGCCACCATACCTAGCCTGCCCCTTAGACTAAATTCCAGAGCATTACTCAAGGTACCATGTCTGACTTCCTTCTGTGAGACAGAATCTCACTACGTAGATGAGGCAGGCCTTGAACTCATGATCTTCCTGCCTCAGCCTCCCCAATACTGAGATAACATATGTGAACCACCACATCTAACTGCAACAGACCTTGGAAGCAGTAAATCAATAACATTGCTGATATTAAAACAGGCACTTACTATGATTATTAGTCTGGTAAAATTCACCCTATTCATCTATACACAAAAATACTGGTAATGAGAAGAAGGAGGAGGAGGAGGAGGAGGAGGAGGAGGAGGAGGAGGAGGAGGAGGAGGAGGACCAAGCATTAACACAGCCAGTGCACACAGCCCTTTTGTTTGATTGTTTCTGAGATTCTGAGACAGGGTCTTGCTTTGTAGCCCTGGCTGGTCTCAAATGTGCAGCATCCCAAGCCTCCTGCCTCCTCACCTCATTCACTAACACCCTGATACACCGTGCTTCTTGTCCTTGACTAGGAAGGTTTTCATTTCTATCCTCACTCCATACATAGAAAAATGTGGGCTGGGCACTCAGGGCTCCTTGGTCATGTGATCCTTTGGGAGAAGACAGTTCAAAAGAGTTCCTGTCCCAAACAACTTTCAAGTCACATGGTGGTTCACAGGTGGAATGCTTGCCCGGCATTTCGGAGCACAAAGATTTGAGCCATAGCACCATGAAACAAATCAAACAAACAAGCAAAGCTGACCTCTGTGCTGCTGGAGGGCCAGGGGGGAATACTGGTGAGGCCGGGTCTCAGGAGACTGAGGCAGAGGGATGCAGAATGAGAGCATATCTTTAAGAAGTCAGGGCAGCCCAACATGGAGGTGCACACCTTGAATCCCAACACTTAGGAGGTAGAGGCAGGCAGCTCTCTGTGAGTTTGAGGCCAGCATGATCTACACAGCAAGGTGAAGGCCAGCCACAGCCACGAAGAGACTCTGTCTAAACACACACATATACACACAAAGAAAGAAAGAGAGAGACAGAGACAGAGACAGAGACAGACAGAGAGACAGGGAGAGGTGAGCAATTAGTATGGGGCAAGAGAAGTGCATCCTTTCAAAATCTCTGTGACAGACATCCCATAACAACATCCCAGGATGTTATAGGCCATCAAGATGCATTTCTCCGTATAATAGCCTTTATGTATTTCTGTTAATGGTTCTTTTTAAGTAAATATTTTTGAGACATGAATTCCTTTAGCCCAGGCAGCCCTTAATCTTGCTATATAGGCAAGGATGCCCTTGAACTTCCGACCTTTTTGTCTTTGGGTGTGTGCCACCATCCTCAGTTTATTTGGGTGCTAGGGAATCAAACCCAAGGTTTTCTTCATGCCAGGCAAACACTGTGCCAATTGAGTCATTTCCCCATCTCTTTAAAAGTCTATCTGTCTGTCTATCTATCTATCTGTCTACCTATTTTATGTGTATGGATGCTTTACCTGCACACATGTCTGGGTACCACCCGTGTGCCTATGCCTTGGCCCCTGAGCACCAGACCTAGGACTGGAGCTACAGGCAGTTATGAGGCATCGTGTGGGTAGCGGGAATTGAACCTGTGGTGCTCTGTAATGGCAGCTAGAGTTCTTAACTGCTGAGCCATCTCTCCAGCCCCTAATGGGCATTTTTAAAGAATATTGAACGATTTGAAAACATCAAAGCATTAAAGGCCTGTATTAAAAACTGTAACTTAACAATAATTTCATTTTCCTGATTTTAGGGGTAATTGAATATTTTTAAAAAATACTTAGGGTGAAACTAACTATTGAGAAACATACATAAAAGCATGTAGCTGTAGGTGTTGGTGCACATGGCAGAAATACCTATAAACCCAGCACTTGCGGGGTACAGACAGGAGATCAGATGTTCAAGGCTGTCATAGCCTACATAATGAGTTTGAGACCAGAACGGCCTCCATGAGACCCTATCTCTAGAACAAGCTTGTGCACCGGAACGCCGATGCCTTTTTTACCCTTTCGCGTTCATCTTCCATGCGTGTGGTTGCACTTGACCCCAGCACCTGCTCTCCTCACTAGGTGGCACAGCCAGCGCTCTAACGCAGAATGTGGGTCTTATGATCTGTTTGATCACGTAAAGCTCGGCATCTGAAAATGGTTTCTCTGTGCACCTGTAACCACGGCAGGCACGCCTGTGCTCCTTTTTAACTGAGTGTTAACTCTGCACACACTAAGAACAAGGTTTGGAATGGATCCCTTCTTACCACCTGCACTTACAACCTATCTCTGGAATAATGCCACGTCGGATGTGAACAGAATTGTTCCTCCTCAGCCAGCATCCCCCAAAGAAGAAAAAGTCTCCTCCATGTGTCTCAAAAAAACCTCTCAAACTGAATCGCCCTCATTTCTCCTTCCTGTGTGTCTCTCTATCCATCCTCCTAATGTCCTCGTATGCTCTATGGTTTTTCCCTGTGTTCACTCCCTGTCTCTTGACCCGTGGTTGACTTCATTTAATCCTGTTTACAATAAGCAGAAAGCTCTTGAACTAAAGAGCTTTAGTTTTAGGGCTGAGCCACACCACAATTAGAAACGGGTTTTTCCAGTAAATAACACAATCTCGGGGTTCAAAGTGTGATCCTGTACCCTGCAAGAGTGGGGCTCTGCTGCAGGACTTTTACCTGACCCAGAGCTGTGCCCTCCTCTGTTTAGAACTGGAAGCAGCTTGAGTCTTTCATTCTACCACTCAACTCCCCAGTTGTGTTAAACTTCTGGTCTAAGACATTTACAGATTGAAAAGAAAATCATGCCACATGCACTTGAGCTCATGTTTAAAGGCAACACGAGGGGAGGAAATAATTTGGGCCACTTTAAGTTTGGAGTAAAAGATACAAATAAGCCACACACACCCAGGGTTTTTTGCATCACAGATATGCAAAATGATGCATTTTGAAAAATCTCCCAGAGAACTTTGATGCTATGATTCAGACTTGCTGATAGAGAGAGCCTCTTCAGAAACTGAGTTGAAATAAAAGTTGGCTGATGTTCCAGTGCCTCATTGGCTGCTGAAGTTTTCTGTAAATCACTCAAACTTAGCTCCTGAGAGAGTTATGTTGTTAAATAGCTAACTGATGAAGACAGCACAGGAAAGGCAGTCAGCTAAGTGGTGGGAGGAAAGAAAAAAAAAAACTGAAGAAGGCAGGGCTTTGAAAGTAGAGAGCAGGCAGCCTATCTGGTGCTGGTTTGATATTCTGAGGGCTGAGGTTGCACAGAATAGTCAAGGATTGATCCTGGAGGCTTGGTCAAGCAAAGGCAAGTTCTAGCCTAACCTATAGGCTGATGGTGATCCTGAAGGACCTGAACTCCAATTGTGGCTGAGGGATGTCCACGTGTAAAAGGGAGGCCTGGGAAAGCTGAACCGATGACCCAGGCCTTTAAAAGAGGTGTGGCTGGGGAGAGGAAACCATATCAACGGAAATAGTGAATTTGGGTAAACATTTTCTCTCCAGGCAATCTAACGCCTTCCTCTTCTTCCTGGTGTGAGCAGAAGAGCCACATAAGTAGAAAGGACATCGGCTGCTGCATTGAAACAGGAGCTGGCAGATGATGGACAGGCAAGTGAGAGAGGGCTCAGTTCTGTTTGAAAGCAGCGTGCCTATCTGCACGGATTTAAAGGGTGGAGAAAGGGCACTGGCTATTGGGGGCCACTGAGCCTCAATTGTGGGAGATGCTCCAGACAAAAAGAGAAGTTTTGAGCTGTCACTTCAGAATTGTTATTCTTTCAAATCACCCAAAAATGTTTCTCTTGTAATGCTTGTCTTTTCCTAGCAGGAAACAGAGAGCTGAGACCCTGCTGTCCCTGTCACCTGCTGAAGCTGCCAACCTCAAGGAAGGAATCAATTTTTTTCGAAATAAGACTACTGGCAAAGAGTACATTTTATACAAGGAGAAGGACCACATAAAGGCATGCAAAAACCTCTGCAAGCACCAAGGAGGCCTGTTCATGAAAGACATCGAGGATTTAGATGGAAGGTACCACGGGTCCTTTGCCCTCTTCCCAGGGACCCTGTTTGCAGTTAGATTTGGCAGGAAATGTACTCACTTAGACATTTTAAGTGACCCAATCAGCAAATTGCTTCTAGTAAGTTCTCCTCTTGTTTTGTTGGGACAGTTTTCTAATTTCAAAATTATATTTTTCTCAGACTTCCCTTCTCTTCTCTCTTTCTAGGAACTCTAATTTAGTTTGACAATCCTAGCTACTGGAACCTAGCTTCTAGGGCATGTGAACATGTATGGCAATATCCTTTTTGCAGGGGTAGGAACACACAGATGTGGTATTGCATTGATTCTAAGTCTTCTAGAAGTTTTCCTTTCCCAGGACGTTCTCTCTCTCTCTCTCTCTCTCTCTCTCTCTCTCTCTCTCTCTCACACACACACACACACACACACACACACAGACAGAGTGCTTTCCAAACCTCGCTGGAAAGCAGATTTAATTTTTCTAAGGCTAGCCAGGCTTACTGAAGAGGCAGAGCCCCAGCTGTCCCCGCCTTAAACAGTGGTGATTGCTTATCTTTTTTTCTCACAGTGTATGCTTTTGCCTGCCTTCATTCCCACGGAGAACGTCTCTCCTCCCTCCGGGCTGCAGCAATGTTAAGACAGAGTTGTTTGACTCTGAGGAACTATCTGGCATATCTAAAGAGAATTCTTGGGCCTCTGCTTTGTCAGCACCAGTTGCCTTATGGATACTGAACCCTACCCTTGAGAGCCCTCTACAGCCTGTCCTGGTCTCCATGGGCTGAGTCCTTGGGCACTGGGCTTTTCCCTTTCTTTGCCTCATTGGTCTTACTCATCTGGCCACATGTGGATAGTTTGGTGACAGGGGGAGATGAGGAGTTGTCCAAGAATGCCCCACTATCACTGTGCAGAGGACAATTCCAAAATCTAGAATGTTCTCACATCTACCCACAGACTTGTTTGATTCCATGGACAGTTTCACAGTCCAGCCCTACATGCTAGTGGACTTTTCAGTGCCACTCTCTGTTGCACCTGTAGCCAGGAATTGCAGGTAACATTCTGTTTGGGTCGCTTATTGGTGTCTTCTGAGGGGACAGTGCAGGGATCTCTCTCCTTTCATCTCCGGTACATTTATATAGCGCTTGGGGTGGATAGAGATTTTTTTTTTCCTCCCTCTGATTATTTCTGAATTTCCTGTTTTCTATATGTAGCTAACCACTTAGCAGCTCAGTGGCTTCAGTGTGGCTCTCATCCCTGTGTGCCCACCACTCTCCTGTTCAGGAATGAATCATCTTGAACGAGCTCATGATCTTTCTCAGCCTCAGCCTGCTCACTTGTAAAAATGAGAATTTCGCCCACTTTGTCAGGTTTCTGAGACAAAGGTTTGCTGGTGAAGCATGAGGATCCATGTTCAAAGTCAGAGCATTTATGTAAAAAGCCAGGCACAGTGGTGTGAGCCTGCAATCCCACCCTCTCAGGAGGCAGAGGCAGGAGGATCCCCAGGGCTTCCTGGCCAGCCAGTCCAGCTGGACCAATGAGCGTCATGTTCAGTGGGAGAGCCTGTCTTTCAGAGTAAATGGAAGTAATGAAGTGATGAGTCATGAGTGGAAGTAATGAGTGACTGCAGGTGATGAACATATTACAAAAGGGGGATATGAAGCTAATTGTTCTCCTAGTTCTAATCCCGGCATGGATGTTTTAGTTTGGACAGTGGATAAATACATAAAATATGCTCCATACTGAAAGTGTAAAATTTCATGCAAAGCTTTATGTTCCATTCTGAATAGCAATCCTAACTATTTGTAAGTTTATTAGGTTGTGCAGACTTTGGGTCTAGATAATTTTGGTGCATAGTAAGGTCAAGGCTAGCCTGTTCTACGTGAGATCCTGTTTCAAAAAAGTTGAGGGGAGAAGGAAGGAAGGAAGGAAGGAAGGAAGGAAGGAAGGAAGGAAGGAAGAAAAATAGGAAGGAAGGAACAAAGGAAGGAAGGAAGGAAGGAAAAGAGAAAGGAAGGAAGAATGTTCAAACAAATAGCAAAAATTACACAGTGCCTCCTTTAAAGTCTCCCATCGGTTATAGTCTGAGTCTTATTCTGAAATGGAGTTAAATTAATAAATAGAAATGTAGAACACTCACCTAAATAGTTACATATAAAAAAGAATGAGTACATGTTGTGAATATTGTGGAAGATGTGCATTTGAAAATATACTCACTTTTTGCCGGCATGATGGTGCACATCTTAGAGCCCAGCACTCAGGACACAGAGGTGAGTTCAAGGCCAGCCTGGTCTACAGTGAGAGTTCTAGGACAGCCAGGGCTACACAGAGAAATCCTGTCCTGAAAAGAACCATCCTTCCCCCACCAAAAAAAAAAGGAAGAAAAAGATAAAATTATACTCACTTCATCTGAAATTCATATTTATCTGAGTGTATTATATCTGATACAGTAATCATATTCTTAAACCTTAAACTCTAGGGAAATAATTCCTTTGGGATATGAAACCAGTTGAGTACTAGAGGTGAGGGTTGAGGGGGGGATAAGTCACACACACATATGACCGCATTCTCTCTGAACGTCGCTTTGCTGTTATGAGAAAGTCACTCCCGTGAAGTTTGTGGACAAGGGCTGTCTTCAGGAGCAGGGGTCTCCAGCAGCAGCTTGCTTATCTGTGCACAGCCGTTGCTTTACCAGTGGCCCTTCTTCCCACAAAGCCCGTGTGCGATCATGTCAGACTGACTCCATGCGCCCTGGCCAGGAGGAGTTACTTACCCTGAAGATCATTCTGTTGTCTCTAACACACATCCCTGTGTGACACAGGCCTGATCTTCACATTTAAAGACATTGCTAGATGATGAGCCAACCTCTCCCTGGCTCCCAGTGTCATCTGTTCATAGGTTTTCTTTCACATGGTTTGCGTCCTGTCAATTGCTTTGACTTCCGTGCCATGAGCTGCCATCACACTTCATCGACGTTAACGCTCTTTTCACTGGGCCGTACAGCTGACTCTCATTTTCCTCCCCTCCTTGCACCAGGTCCGTTAAATGCACAAAGCACAACTGGAAGCTAGACGTGAGCACCATGAAATACATCAACCCTCCAGGGAGCTTCTGTCAGGACGAGCTAGGTAAACACTCACCATGCTTTCCGCCCCAGCGGGGAGAGGAGTGAAGGGGAACTTGGGAAATGTTGTCCTGATGGCATCCACTGTCGGTCCAAGTTCTGGATCTCTTCTGATTTTAAACATGATCAATTGTTTGAGACAAGTTTTTTTTTTCCTTATGGTTATCGATCGTTTGCATTTCATCTTTGGAGAATGCTTGCTCCTCTCACCAGCTCATTTGTAGACTGGGTACTTGATTTATCATTGTCTACCCTTTTTAGTTCTTTGTATAGTCTAGATATTACTCCTCTGCCAGATGTAAAGTGAGCAAATATATTTACCTAGTCTCTGGGCTCTCTTCACCTAATGGCTTCATTTGCGATTCCTAGGGCTTCCTAGCTGATCTAGCCTAATTAATGAGGTCCAGACTCAGTGAGAGGTTCCCCAAATATAAGGTGGAGTGTGATTAAAGAAGATACCTTCCGTTCTCATCTGGTCTGTATGTGTGCACGTGTAACACACACACACACACACACACACACAGTAAGGCAAAGTAAAAGTAAGATAAACCACTATAAGGCTTCGCATAAGGCAAGAGTGGCTGGTCTGCGGTGAAGAACTTATTTAGGTGAGCAAACTGAATGTAAACAATCAGCCCAGCCCTTCCCAATAATCTGTGTGTATAGACCACACAGGAAGTTCACGGCCCCACAGGCATAGTAACAGTGGTGAACATTAATTTGCTGCTCATCATAGGTGTTCTTTTTATAGGTTTTTATAGGTTTCTGGGTGATTGGCTCTTTTTTTTATGTGCGTAAATATGTACATACAGGTGTCTGAGTCAAAAATCACTATCAGGGGTCTTTCTCAATTTCTTTTTCATTTATTTTTCTCCTTTTGAAATTTATTCTCCAATAAGCCTTATTGCTTTTTTTTTTTTTTTTTTTTAAAAAAAAAAAAAGCTTGCAAATAAATAAAAAACATGACACACCAAAATCAGTTCTTAGTGTAGTCTGGATATTACTCCTCTGCCAGATGTAAAGTAAGCAAACATATTTATTCACCTAGTCTCTGGCTCTCTTCACCAAATTGCTTCATTTGCTGTGCAGCAGCTTACTAATGTCATTGAAGTTCTATTTTTCAGTTGTAGGTGCTATTTCCTGACAAACTGGAGTCCTATTCAGACACTTCTTACCTATGCCTATCTGTATTTTGGAACTGTTTCCCCTCGTATTTTCACTGCTTCAGATTCTGTGATTAGGTATTTGCTCCATTTGGGTTAATTTTTGTTAGGGTAAGGAATAGTTTCATTCTTGAACATATGGGTATACAGTTTTACCAGCACCATTTGCTGGAGAGGTTTTCTTTCCTCTAATATATGTTTTTGGCATCTTTGCCAAAACAAACAAACAAAAACAAAAACCTCTAACTAAGCGGGTTTATTTGAGTTCTTCACTCTGACCCAATGATCTGTGTGTTTGTTTTTGTGCCATCTTACTGTGGCTTTGTGGAAAATTTGTACTACCTTTGTTAAATTCATTCATAAATAGTTTATTCTTTTTGGTCATCTTATAAATGTCATTTTAAGATTGCTATAGTTCCTTGTTAGATATATTAGATGTTTTATATTTAGGATCATGCTCTCCGTGTATACAGATAGCTTAACTTTTTTCTAATTTGTGTGTCTCTTATTTCATTTTCTTGTATAGTTGCTTTATCTAGAACTTCCAGGCAGAAGTGGCATGAGAAGAGCTTCCTTGTTCTGTTTCTCCCCTCACAGTGGAAGCAGCTGTGTGTTCTCAGCTGTTTTGTTTTGTTTTAGGTTGAGGACCCACTTTGCTATTCTTCGTTTTCTAACACTGTCTTCTAGCTCATTAAAGGATGCTGTAGTTTGCCAAATATCTTTTCTATATCCATTCTGATGCTCATATATTTGCCCTGTTTCTTCTGTTAATGTGAGGTAGTCCATTGGCTTTTTTGAATGTTCAATTATCATTACATTTTTCAAATATTGAACCAGGCTAGCATAAAGCTCACTTGGTCATGGGTGATACTGTTTCAGACCACCTAGATAGTTTTACCTTGATACCAAAGCTGGACAAACCTACTGCAAGAAAACGGAAAGACCAATGTTTTAATGAATGTACTATAAAATGATTTACAAGACAGTATCAAATACAACTTATGGATGAGAGTGGAAAGGGAACTGAATAAAAATGTGAAAAGGTTTGCATGGACAGAATATGGTGAGCTGAAATGGATGACGAGCACAGCAATCCTTTCACTTGTGATATCATCATCCTTTCATTTGTCCTCAGTATGAGTGGTATTGGCACCTGTCCACTGGGATGCATGGGTTTCTCCTCCCAGAAATAGTGTGTGGACATTCTTTTAATCCCCACTCTGCACAGGACACGATCAAGCTCTTAACACTCTTCTCATTGTGAGTACCAATTGCGTCTCATTGTTTCTCATCTGTCACTCAAATGTGATGCTAATGTGTTGATAATTAACACTTGGCATAGGGTGTTTGATAACTTGTTTCTGATGCTAGAAGTTTTTCACCTTTTTTTTAATGGCTTCAATTTTCTTTGGGAACTGCTTCTATAGCTGTTCAACTCACAAATCTTTTTTTTTTTTTAAAGCTATTTTATCATCTGTTGTCATGTCTTGGTGGCTTCCTTTTGTTTCAGAAAACTCAGTAAACCAATTTCCATGGTACCACTTGTCAGCCCACCAATTTATGAATTTCTTCTCATGCCGTCTGTAGCCATTGTGCCATTACAATACTAACGCCGATCCTTTTGATAACTGTAATTTTCTGACATGTTTTTTCTCCATTTCTTCACTATTTTTTTTTTTTTAATAAAGATTTAGGGAGGGTTGAGACAGTGGTACCTGCCTATAATCCCAGCACTTGGGAGGCTGAAATGGGAGGACTGCCATGGATTCTAAGCCTGCCTGGGTTGCACTGCAAAAATTACTACCTGTTTTCATTTAGCAGTTCATATGATTGCCTTGGGTGGTTAGATTTAACTCGCTGGGAATTGTTTAGTCGCTTTTCTTTTTGCTGTGACCATATTCCCGACAAGGTGCCGCTGAAAGAGAGGAGGGTTTTTCTTTTGGCTCGTGGTTGGAAGGGGGCTGTAGCAGATCTCTGTGAATTCTAAGTCTTCCTACGCTGGCGGACCGTTACGTGATGTCAGTCATCATGTTGCCTGCCTGCGCTGAATTTCCTTTGTGTCTGTCAGACATCTCACGGGTCACATCTAGCTTGAACGGCTTGAAACTGCTTCCTGGTTAACTCTTCTCTTGGCTTTTGGCATCAGGTTGGGAGTTCCCTCCTGCACACCCTCTCGGCACCTTGACCTTCTCTCTCTTTCGCTGGTTTCAGCACAGGGCAGCTGTACGCGTGTGTCTGTGTCAAATGCGCCTGAGATCTCCTGAGCTGCTTAAATGTAGCATGAGCAAGGAAATGAGCGTAAGCAGCGGCAGCAGCTGTCCTGGCAGGCGCTGTGCCATCAGTGAGCAGTGGCTTCTGTTGCAAGTGTGATTTTTGACCCTCTCTGTACTGTGACGATGTGATCCTACTGCAGTGAATCTTTCAAGAATGTCATTATCTCGCTCGCTCAGATTTATTTCCCTTTGTTTCTAGTTGTCGAAATGGATGGAGACAGTGGTCTTTTTCTCCTAGAACTGAACCCTCCTAACCCCTGGGACTTTGACCCCAGGTCTCCCGAAGAGTTAGCTTTTGGGGAAGTACAGGTAAGGAAACATTAAAATTATAATCTTGATAACAAAATAAAACTGAGATGTCATTCATACATATATTTGCATATTTTACAACTATATATACCTAAAAATCATATATTTGTATACACACACCATACATAAATATATATGTATATATAGATAGAGAGAGAGAGAGAGAGAGAGCAAGATAGACCTAGAAAAACAGTATTTCATGTTAAAGGAGGGTCCAATGAGAAGTCACGTAAAACTGTTGGAAGAAGTTCAGAAAGTACCCTTACTGCCTGAACATTCTTGGATAAGATTGTATATCAGTCAGGGCTTTGATGATCAAACCCTTGAAGCTGAGGAGTTCATGAAGAAAAGAGGCTAGCTTAGCTCAGAGTTAGAGAGCATGGTTTGGCATGTGCCCAGCTCTGGTGAGCGCTTCCTGGTGGATGGGTACAACGGCTGGAGTGTGCATGGGGTCAAGAGCACCGTCTGCTCTTCCAAAGGACCCGAGTTCAACTGCCGGCACCCACGTGGCAACTCACAACCCCCTACAACCCCAATTCCAAGGAATCTGATACCTTCACACGAATGCACATAAAATAATAAATTATTTTTAAGAAAGAAAGTGGCGTTCGTACTTGCAGAACAATGTCTGGAGGGAGGTGCCGGTCTCCTCATGAAAGCTCATTTTTGAGGGAACTGGCCAATCCTGAGATCCTAAGATCCTGGAAGAAGTACATTAGCCTCTTAAAAGCTCTATCCCTAATGAATTAATCACCTTACATCAGGCTCCACCTCTTAAAGACCCCATGCCCTCTCAACATCCCCACCCTGGATACCAAGTTTCAAGAACATGAACGTTTTGGGGAATAAACTGCATTCCCACTGTGGCAGATAGCAAGTTGTATATTTTGCCCCTCATCCTGAGATCTTTTGCAAATCTTTTTATGCACATCGTATTATCAGAGCATTTTCCTCTAAAGGAAATACCTCAGAAATTTGGGGAAAACAAACAAGCAAAATTGTGTGTGTGTGTGTGTGTGTGTGTGTGTGTGTGTTTAGAAAGCTATGTGCATTTGGATGGGATTTTTTTTGGTTGGTTGGTTGGTTTGGTTTGGTTTAGCTTTGTTTGAAATAAACGAGACTCTACTCAGAACAGGAATGATAAAAACTAACTTGTTTCCTGGTGGTTCCTTATCTCACAGCTGGCTCTTCACACTTGACTCCTGTTGCCTTATCTCTGCTTTTCCATGTGTTCTCTATCTGTGGATGTGCCAGGCAGGGGTAAGGAAGGGGGTGAGGAATAGGTCTGGAATTCCCCTACCTGCACCGGTCTGGAAATCATTGTTGATACCGGTTCTCAGAAGCTCTTGGCAATCTGCAGGGTGAGTAAGAAGGGAATGTAGAATAGAAGGTCACACAGCCCAGCTAGCTTGATGTCCAGTCTGTCCTACTGCAATAACCCACCAAACTAATCAGGAGTCGTGTAATCAGCACTCCTCCAAGCCACAATGGCATGTCGAGTCCCTGATGCTTATGCTAACATTTCTAACTGCTTTACTTTGGAAACTGTGCCAGGATTGGTCAGACCACAGCTAAACAACGCAGGGAGCTGGTTCAAAGAGAGCAAAATCGGGCACATCCATTGACTTGACAACAAACCCCCGACACTAGAGTCTCTATCCTGACAGTCTGTGGAGGGCGCTGTGTTCTGTCAGTGTGTGTCTGCAGTTGTTGCTGAGCCAGAATTTGCCTGACCTTGTCAGAGAAACAGCCTGAACCTTGTACTCTGTTGTGCTGACCAGTCACTGTGCCATAACAGGAATCTCACTCTCTTCTAACAGATAACTTATCTCACGCATGCCTGCATGGACCTCAAGCTGGGAGACAAGCGGATGGTGTTTGACCCTTGGTTAATTGGCCCTGCTTTTGCCCGAGGATGGTGGTTGCTACACGAGCCTCCATCTGACTGGCTGGAGAGGCTGTGCAAGGCAGACCTCATTTACATAAGTCACATGCACTCAGACCACCTGAGGTAATGAAGTCACTGTATCCAACTTCTAAGATAACAATGGCTCAGCTAGGCATCAGTGGGAGTTTGAGGGTTGTTGCTTTGTTTCTTAGGCAGGATCTCAGGAGGTTCAGGCTGGCCTTGAACTCACTATGGAGCTGAGGATGACCTTGAACTCCTGCCTGATCCTTATACCACCACTTACAGATGCTGGGATTATAGGCATGTGCCACTATACCCTGCTTATAAAAAGTTTTTAGATTCTTCTGCAATCACTGTCCACTCTGACTTGCCCCATTAGAACTATGAAAAAAAGAATAAGAATAGTAAATTATTTGTATATGCACCACAATTCTAATTTTAAAAGTGCTTCAACAGTTTATATCAACAGGACTAAGGAAGAAGCCATTATGAAAAGCAGGGTGGTTGATAACCCCTCACAGATTTCCAATCTCATTCTGCTTGGTACATGAGCAGCATAAAGCTCATCAAAGCAACCTTCTTTTAGTTCAAAATTTATAGCCCAAACCAACACATACACACACTCACATACATACTGGAAAGAGCCAGTGTTCTCAGCACTGGAGAAGCTGAGGCAGGAGGATCAAGAATTCAATGCCAGTATGGGCTACATAGCAACACTGTGTCAAAAAAATGACAAAGAGATACTTTTTAAATAAAGGACCAACGGAATACTTCCAGTTTTGAACACAAGTTGAACCTCACCCAGCGTTGCCATTGAAAAAACAGGAGCACACAGGGACTCACAAGCGAAAGGAGGAACTAGTATCCCAATAAAGCTTTAGTGATGGACATAATTTCCATGTTTCAAAAAATATTGTTACCTTTATATTATCTTGTAAAGCCATATATAGAACCACGGAGCAGGCAAAGTCTTGCTCATGCACTGGTTTGCCAAGCCCTGCTTTTTGTTGTTTCACTTTGCTATGGACTCAGGCTTGTCTAGGTCTTCCTGTCTTAGCTGCCCATGTACTAGGGTTACCATGCCACAACCATGTCCTGCTTTATTTGTCTTCTTTTTTTTTTTTTAATTCTTCCTTTCTTAGAACACATCCTGACTACAGCCTTCCCTTACTCCACTCCTCCCACTTCTTCCTGTATATCCTTCTCCCTCCTCTCCCAGATCCACTGTTCCTCCATTTTCCTTCAGAAAAGAGTGGCCTCTCAGGGATATCAACCAAACACGGCATGACAAGTTACAGTAAGAGTAGGCATAAATCATCATATCAGGGCTGGGTGAAGCAGCCTAGTAGGAGGTGAAGGATCCTAAGAGCAGGCAAAATAGCCACAGATACCCCAACTCCCACTACAAGAACCTTAAGCTACACAACCATGACATATAAGAAGAGGACCTAGCACCGACCCATGTGGGCTCCCCGATTGCTGCTTTAGTCTCTGTGAGTCCCTTTGAGCCTTGATTAGTTGATTTTGTGGGTTGTGTTCTTCTGGTGTCTCCTACCCAGCTGGCTCCTATAATCCTTCCTCTCCCTCTTCCGCTGGTTCCCCCAAGCTTGGCCTAATGTTTGGCTGTGGCCCTGTGTATCTGCTCCCATCAGCTGTAAAGGAAGCGTCTCTGATGATAACTGGACAAGGCTCTGATCTACGTATGTAGCAGAGTATCATTAGGAATCATTTCATTAACTTGTTTTCCCCCAGTTGTGTTTGGTTCTACCCTAACTCTCTGGGCCATCCTGATTCTGGTTCCTGGCCACCCAGGCAGTGTCAGGCATGGGCTCCCTCTCATGGCCTGGTCCTCAAGGTAGACCAGTCACTGGCCACGCCCACAAAATCTGAGCCACCTTCACCCCAGAACATCTTGTAGGTGAGACAGGTTGTAGGTCCAAGGTTTTGGGGTTGACTTGGTGCCCCAGTCCCACCATTGAAAGCCTTGCCTGGTTACAGAAGATCACGGGTTCAGGCTCCCTGTCCTTCATTTTAAGAATCCTCTCTAGGGTCACCCTCATAGGTACCAAGGAGTTCCCTTTGCACTGGGTTTCCACATTGCACCCCACAGCACTGGTCATTTCTCCCTGTACTCTCCCCCTCCATCTGCCTTCCCACCTGATCCCTCCTGTTCTCACCCCCAACTGTTCCCAGTCTACCTGCAAAATCTATTCTATTTCCCTTTCCCAGAGAAATTCGTGAATCCCCCCTAGAGCCCTTCTCGTTACTTAGCCTCTCTGGGTCTGTGGATACCAGTGTGATTATCCTTTATGGATCAGAGAATATCCACTTATAAGTGAATACATACCGTGTTTGTCTCTCTGGGTCGGGTCTACTTCACGCAGGATGATTTTCTTTTTCTAGTTCCATCCATTTGCCTGCAATTTCATGATGTCATCTTAATTTATAATATCTTTACAGTGTTCTCAAATCCAAATTCCAAATTAGCTTCTGCCAGGACTCCTGTGGATCTGGTATGGTGCCAGTAAACCAAAGGACATGTTCCTAATCCCGACAAAAAGAGGAGGATGAAAGCACAATTTTCCACCCAGAACACGCTTCAAAACATCACTCCACTTTTTTTTTAAAAAAAATGAATGAATTATCAGAATACGGAAGGTCATATTCCCACTCTGTGTTTATGGCTGTGTCAGTTTCTAAGCTGTCTGGAAGTTTTAAATCACTAACATCAAACACAGCAATGCCCACAGTGTTCACAAGCAGCTTCACTTCTTCTTTCTCTGCGATCCTGTAAAAATAAACTGTTTGCCAGGAGTGTTTTGATAGAATGTCCCTGTTAAAGACAAAATGCTGGTTGTTGGCTATTGCTGACGCCTTGATTTTCTGCTCTGAAGAATGTAGGACTAGAAGGAATCACTCTACATTGATATATTGTTTAAAGGGCTAGTGGTTCACATTTTGAATGAACTGGCTTAGTAACTAACAAGCAGCTTATAACTCACTTCTTCACTGTCTCTAACCCCTTGAGCGGCTGCAGTATTACAAACAAAGCTTCACTTGCTTATTATGATATTTTTGCCTTTAACCAGTTCCTAGAACTGAACTTGTCTAAGTGGAGGCTTGAGGGAGCCCTGGTTGCATGTTGCTGAGGAAGCTCAGTGTGGGCTGGTGTTTTCGTATAGCCCGCCATGCTAAGCGAGGATGACAGCGGCACGGAAATGACCTGATGGCGTTACACCGCTATAAGACACAATTGTTCAAGACCTAAAGAGAAGCTCTCTACCAGACAGAACTGAATTTGGGGTGAGGTTAGGATAAGAGCTTTAAATGTAGTTTAGCCAAGTTACTCTTTAACCACTGGCCTCAATGGCCAGTTGAAGGCCAGCGTCTCCTGGGGTACAGTTGTGTGACAGTAAGGACAGGGTCATAACACGCTCACTGTGAAACGTTTTAGCTAGTGTTTGCCCCTGAAAAACTGCTGATGCTTGTGAGTTTGACTCCTTTATGCCATCTTTTTGGCAAAACCCTTCTCATTGTGAGTCTTTTCTAGTCAATTAATAACTACTCAAGCCATTTACCTCATTCCTGCTGTGTGACCTTTTTAAGTAAAACTTCCCTGGATTATAAAAATGAGGGGGAAACAGTGTGAGGTAGTGAACAGAGTTCAAAGAAATGTGATTTCACAACATCAGCATAGTATTGTTACATGATATTAGCAGAGAATAAAAATTATGATTAGATGATAGTACGTTACTATTAGTATTAGCAACTTGTCTGTGTTTATGATAAGACATTGTGACCAAGAAATTTATAGAAGAAAGAATTTATTTGGGCTTATGATTCCAGAGCATCAGAGTGCATCAAGGGGCAGGATTGAGGGGGATGACTCAAGTGGAACTTGCTTTGAGATTGTCAGTAGACAGAATAATGGCACAGAGACTTAGTTATGAACTTAGGCACTATATGTAACTGATTCTTAACTAATCTAACCTAACAATACTGCCCTGGCCTATGTCCCACCAAGTGGCCTGTTATCTCTCAATCTTAGTCCCTGCACTTGTCTCTTCTTCCATGTCCACTGGTGACTCTTTCAGCCTCTGATCCTTTCCCAAGAGTCCCAATCTATGTCGGAAGTCCTTCCTATTCTCTCCTGCCTTTGCTATAGGCCAGTTAGTTCTTTATCTAACTAATCACACGGTGATGGAGAGCAATGTTTACAAAATACTGAGGCAGGAGATGCTTCATAAAAATGACACTAGCAAAGTCCAACCTGTACTCAACTCTGTGAGTACAGAAATCAGCATTTGAATAACACAAGGACAATCTTTGCACAGTGCAAACAAACAAACAAAAATAACAACAACAAATCAAGTCCCCAAGACTATGGGAACATATAGGAGGTGTATTTTCTGAACTCAAAGATTCAAGGCAGGTCAAAGGGATCCTGGAATTTTTTCAGTCTTTTGCTTAGAGGAGAAAAGCCTGCTTCCTCCCCGTTCTTCCCTCCTGCCCCACAGGCTCTGCATGTTTGTGTAGCTCTTCACAGGGTGGCAGTGGTCTATGAGTACAGCTGATGCATGCTGACATGCAGGCTTTGTTTGGGCAGCTCCGTAGAGCGTGGAAATGTCATATATTAGGACAGCTGCTGCACGCAAACCTGCGGCTTTGGTTTGTGCTAATGGCAACATATTTCATTTCCTATGATTCTTTTGCATGTTTGTCTGTAGTAGGAGATTCCGGGCACGTGGTACCGTGCCCAGACACTAGTTCGATTCTAAAACTGGAAAGTGAATGTGAAAAAGCTAGAACCTATCTCCTAATGGAAGCAGCGCTAGCTTTGGTCAGAAGAAAAAAAAAATTGAAAACAAACCCATTGTTTGTAGTACTTGTAGATTTATGAATATGTTTTCTTATTTATGAAAATAGAATCCTCAGAGCATATAATAAAAATCTAATAAGAACTGCTGGGCATGGTGGCGCAAACCTGTAACCCTAGTACTCAAGAGGCTGAGTTAGGAGAAATTTTAGGAGCTCCAGGTCAGCCTGGACTACACAGTGAGAGGCTATGTCAAAAATAAAACAACAGGAAAAGAATGGAAATGTATGGACATGTGTGGCAGTGACAGAACGGGTACCTAGCCGTTTGTTCACCTCTCTACCACACCCTCAGCTACCTAAAAATCCTTTTGTGTCATGAGTGCTCAATAAAAATGAAAATTGCTTTTATGGATGCAAGCATCTGAAAAAAACCTGGATGGCTGGTGACACACAGTTGAGAGGACCAGAATACTGACTGCCTTTCAGCTCCATTAAATGTTATTGTATGGCCTCTCTGGTAACCTGAGTCCTCCAAAGGATAAATTTCTGCCTTTGGAAGACATGATGGTGACTCTGTCCTGTGCTGTGTCCTCTGTTTTACTACTGGGATGCCACCATGAGTGTGATCAGGAACACCTCTCTGGACTCTCGTGATAGGCTAATTCCAAACTCCTTCCTTTTCGCTGATCATGTCGTTGTGCTCTTGCTAGTAAATCTCATTTTTTTTAACCTTCCACCATTTCCACCCCTCTGATCTAGTTACCCCACACTGAAGCAGCTTTCCCAGAGACGATCGGACATTCCCATTTATGTTGGTGACACAGAAAGGCCCGTGTTTTGGAATCTGGATCATAGTGGTGTCCAGTTAACTAACATCAACGTGGTTCCATTTGGAGTGTGGCAACAGGTCAGAGAGCCATTTGTTTTCTCATTATGCATTCTGAGGTGACATTTAAATGTATATGCATTTAAAAGTGGCCCACGTTTCTCTACACAGTAAATACAACCTGTATTTAAGTTTCAGTGTTGGACATAACTGTTTTTACTAAAAGATTTCCTTTCCATTTAGCAAATGTATAACCTTACAAAACAGGCTAATAAATCCAGTTATAGACAAAGAGTTGTTTTGTTTTGTTTTTTCCTTTAAATTTTAGTCTGATTTGCCAATTTTTCTCAAAATGACAATCTTCTTAAATATTTACTGTCGAACTGCAGGTAGACAAAAATCTTCGGTTCATGATCTTGATGGATGGTATTCATCCTGAGATGGACACGTGCATTATTGTGGAGTACAAAGGTACCTTCTTATCCTAAAAGACAATGAAAAGTGAAACATGCCATAGATTACAAAAGAGGATGTCTGAAACCTCATCCTATGCTCACCTTCTGCTGTCCCCATTTTCAGAAAACACAGTACATTATGCTCTTGTGTTTGGAAAATGAACCTTTTAGATTTTTTTTTCAGGTGAAAGCTCTCCAATAATTAGGAGTCTTATGACAGGTACATAGCTTTTAGCTCAAGAAAACCAGTCTTTCTATTGTTTTAAGGCTATGATACTTTCAGTGAATAAAGTATTCACTGAATACTTTCATCATATTTTTGGGTATGGTGGTACGTACCTGTGATCCCAGCAGTCAAGAAGGAGAAGCAGGAAGACAGGAGGTCACGGTCATGTTCTGATACACAGCCCAGGCCAGCCTGGGCTTTATAGGTCCCTGTCTCAAAGAACAAAGCAAAACAAAGGAAAGGGAAAAAAATATCCTCACTAGAAAATTTCATCATGAGTGAGGTATGGCCTTAGTTATCCCATAATCATTTGGAATGTAATTGTCCATAGAGTTTTTGCCAGAGATGGAGGCATCTGTGTTGACTTGAGTCCTTGAGTCCTCAGTATCTAAAGACAATTATGGGAGTGCTCTGTGATCCAGAGCAATTAGGCTGTTGGTCTTCATGAGGCACCCAGAAGCTGTCCATCCAGAGGGATAAACCCCTTTACTTGGGAATAAGAATATTCTAAGACTTCAGATTCTGACAGCTTCCACTTTGTTTATTTGTTGTTGTGGGTTTTTTGTTTGTTTGTTTGGTTGGTTGGTTGTTTTTTGGTTTTTTTTTGTTTTTTGATGGGGAGGGGAACATACCAATTCTTCTGTAATCAACTGAATTGGATTATATAGCTTGCACTGGACAACCTTGTTGGCTTAGTCATTCAAACAAGAGTATTTGAGATTTCATGTTGTTTCCCCACAGGTCATAAAATACTCAACACAGTGGACTGCACCAGGCCCAACGGGGGAAGGCTGCCGGAGAAAGTTGCTCTAATGATGAGCGATTTTGCTGGAGGAGCATCAGGCTTTCCAATGACTTTCAGTGGCGGAAAGTTCACTGGTAATAATTTATATCCTGGCGATACCGAGCATGAGGCATTGTGCTGGGATGGATGCTGTGAGAATAAGTACATACATAACCGGCATGTGGTTCCCGCTTGAAGGAGCACGTACTCTGTTAGAAAGCCAGGCTTGTGAGCCGCAGGCGCTGCAAACTGAGCTTTCAGAATTTGATGGTAGAGTGCGCAGGCGGCGCTGAGATGAAGGAGTGTGATTCTGCTTTTTTCCCTGAAATGCCCGGATGCCACCGGGTGCTGAGCTGAGAAGGATGAAGCAGTCTGGAACTGGGAACGGGGACCTATGGGATTCCAGTCCAACTGGGAGTGCCAGAAGTGGGTGGGGTGCGGCGGGGGAGACATCTGAGGATAAATCAGTGGCTTTTAGGTGATATTTAGTGAAACAGTTACGTCAGTTATTGTCAAATTCGCATGCAGGAGAGAGAAGGGGGCAGGTGAGCGAGAACGGGAGAGAGAGCTGACATGCGCATGCGCCTCAGTGTTGGACGAACCCTTGGGCAGTGGACAGGGGTTACCAGGGCAAATGCATTTCACTGGCTGTGGCTAAGATGCTGGCAATGCTCTCCTTGCATCCAGGTGCCAGCTAAGTGACTACCTGACTACCTTGGGGTGGGGGTGGGGTCTCCATGCCCCCTGCTCCAAGGCAGGCGTGGAACCCAGGAGGGAGCTTGTCCGACTCCTGCCATCTCAGGATGAGATTTTAAATCTCGAGTTTGAGATTTCCAGGGTTGGAACATGCGCCACCTCGCCAGTCCAGTGCCAGTTTCTGTGGTGGCGCTGTCCACGGGCCGCACAAAGGGGCGTCTGGGGGAGGGGGCATCCAGGAGGAACTAAGAAAGACAGTGACTGAGTGTCACAGTGTGAAGCACAGCGTGGGACCAGGAAAGGAAGGAATGGGTAACCCTGGTCTCAGTGCTCGTAGGATGTGGACGGCGTTGAACAGTATGGGTTCCACACGATGCGCAGAGATGTCTCAAGGCGCAACACAGGCCAGCAGTCCCGTTCACTTTGTGTTTTTTGTGGAACTGAGTTTTGCCTGTTGGAGTCTCAGAGCACTTACTGCTGTTGATTTTCTTGGGACCTCCACACTGAGTTCTGCATAGCCACGTGGGGTCACAACCCGGTTTAAGAAGCTTGGAACCAGGGCATTCGCTCGCTCTCAATGATTTCCGAACGGAGGACGCTGACCCCGAACCTGTCATTTCAGAGGAATGGAAAGCCCAGTTCATTAAAGCGGAGAGAAGAAAGCTCCTGAATTACAAAGCTCAGCTGGTGAAGGACCTACAGCCCCGAATCTACTGCCCGTTTGCCGGTTATTTCGTGGAATCTCACCCATCTGACAAGTAAGGCTGGGCGCTTCGTCCGATATTTTATACATGGGTTAGTGTCCGTCAGAAGGAAAGACTTTGCTATAAGTGCATTGTGAAATGAGAAAAAGATTGTGAGAACTCAACTCCCGACTCATTGTGTGTGTGTGTGTGTGTGTGTGTGTGTGTGTGTGTGTGTGTGTGTGTGGTGTGTATGGTAAGGGTGTGTGTGTGCATGTGTGTGTATGTATGTATGTGTGTGATGTGTGGTGTGGTGTGTGTGTGTGTGTGAGGAGGTGGAGGCCAGAGAGCAACCCATATCTGGGATGACATCTACCTCTTTTTGGGACAAGGCCTCCGTCTCTAGCCCTGGGGTTACAAATGTACGTCGCTGAGTCTGGCTTTTTTCACCTGAGTTCCGAGGGTCAAACTCAGGTCCACAACTTTTTAATCATTTGCCAACACCGATGAATCAACACCACCATAGTTAGTACAGATAGACAGACACTACCTGAAGGCTCCCTCAGGAAGGCAGGAGGCAAGCAACCCTTATTAAGCCTGTCTAGGGGGTAAAATGGGGCCTTTTAACAAATTCATCTAAATAATTCCCCCAAGGACACCATGAGGAAGGTTTTGTACATTTGCTGGAGAGCTGGAATGAGAAACCAAGAGAGGCAACGCGGCTTGCCCAGGGCCACCCCCTGGGAAGAGGAGTGGAGACGCAAAGCCTGCTTTGCCTGCTCTAAACTCTTTCTCCCCAGTGCTTCTCAGTGTAGAGAAAAGGAGTGAAGAAAGTGTGCCCTTGCCAATGCTCTGGGGTAGGTCGAGGAAGACTAGACCAGATGGTTCACTCCAGGTTTTCCAAGACAAATGTGCTTTTCATTTTCACCCCCGGCAACAAGACATGTGTGAGAAAGGTCAGCATGAGGCTCTCAATGGAGGGAGCCTGCATAATATAATACTCTATTATATAGTGTATTATATAGTATATTACACTATTACATAGTGTAATAATAGTGCAAACGGTGCCAGGAACTATCTGTCGCACAGAACAATAGGAATCTGCTTCTCTCCGATCTAGAAGCCAAGACTTTAAATCCAGTTGCCAGGAAGGTTCTGCTCAAGGTCTTTCTTCCTGCATCTGTGTGCCTACGTGCCACTCACTGTGGGTGACTGCCTCGTGACATGCCACTCTCTCTCTGCTAGCTACTCCCTCTCTCTCTCTCTGCTAGCTCTTCTGTTTTATGACGTGAGTCTCAGCAGATGAGGGTGCATCTTTATGGCCCTATTTAGCCTGATTACTTCTCCAAACAAAGATATTCTCTCCAAACAAAGATCACACCCTGTGGAGCTGCAGCTTAGGACTCTGATACAACTTTACTGAGAGGGACGCAGCTCAACCTGTACCAAGCACTTCTGTTAAAGTCAGAAACTTTTCAGAACTTGCAATAACTATCGTTTTACGTATTTTTTTCTAAAATAGTTGGCATACAAAGTATTTTATTTTATTATTACTTAAAATTTTTATAGTCCTGTGTGTGTGTGTGTGTGTGTGTGTGTGTGTGTGTATGTGTAAGTGTGTGAGCCCACATACATGTGCACATCAGAGGACAACTTTAAAAAGTCAGTTCTCTGTTTGCACCATGTGAGGACTTACATTTAAATTTAAGGGATTAAATTTAGGTTATCAGGGTCAGAAGCAATCACCTTGATACTCAGAGCCACCCTGCTGGCCTAAGGCTTGATTCAAATCAGCAACATCACAACTCCTTGGAATATTCCAAGTCAAGACTGAAGCCAGTTGTTACTTAGTTGTTATTTAGAGTTACTTAGTTACACACATGGTACCCTTTGGGTGTCGATGTTCACGTCAATGAGCTGGGACAGAGTGAGCCAACTTCTAGGCAAACAACTTTGAGATGCTGATTTTTGTTTCCAAGTCAAATGAATTCTGAAGAAATGAGCTAATTCTGGCAATGTGTATTGGAACATTGCACAAAGATCACTTTTTTTTTTATCCTTGATTTTGGTACTGGAAAACCTTTATGTATGGCTTGATCAGCAAGCATGTAAGTCTAATTTTGAACCATAAGTTTTATGAACTCTAGATACAGATCAAGTATTTGTGATGGAAATTATTGTCTGAATTGATATAACCTAAATATACAGAAAAACGTGGAAGATGCAAAACAGGTTATATAAGTCAACTAATTTTTTTATTATTATTATTTAAAAATTGAGTGGCTGAGGAAGTTGCACAGCTGGTAAAACACTTGCAACGCATTCTTAAGGACCCGAGTTTGGATTTCTAGCACTCATGTAAAAACCATGAGTGGCAGTGCATGCCTGTAACCCCGGTATTTGAGAGGTGGAGACAGGAGGATCTGTGGGACGAATGGGTCTAAGTAGGCTCAAGCACAGGCGACATGTTCCATGAATAAAGCTTTGAGCAGCTTTCCAGTGAAGATTTGTCCATGTGTAACTAGACTTCTAGTTTGGGGGTTAGAAACTAAATTCATGATTGTAAACTTCGTGGATTGTATCTCTAGAAATTGCAACAAGACCTTTTGTTCTTTAGTATTTTTAATTGTATTTTATGTAACCAAGATCCAAACAGGACCCTGTTAGGTAGCCCTGGCTAGCCTAGAACTCTCCATAGACATCAAGCTAACCTCACACTTGTGCCAAACATCCTCCTCCTGCCCTACCTCCCTGATCCTAGGTTTACAGGATTAAGTCACCATGACTGGCTTAGCTGTCATATTTTTTCCTAATTAAAGAAAAAACTAGTCATACACGCCCTTCCCCTAGGTAAACTACTCCTTTGACACTAAGTGAGTGAGTGAGTCCTGATATCATTTGAAATTGCTGGATAAACACAAATTAGGTTCAGGGACTGTGCTCATGCAGTTTTTAAAAATACACCAGAAGTAATTTTCCCATGATGGCATAACTAATTACGCTTGGGCCACAAAGAAAGTATTGGTCCATTTGTCTCTGTTCATCCACATGTAACCTTGAGGGATGAAAGGTGGGCAGGAAGGGTGGAGATGACAGAGGCAGCTAGTAAGAGCCAGACTTTGAGAATCAGGAAGGGCTGGGTCTCATGACAATGTCACAGGAAGCATGGGCTTCCCCAATAACATGTTCCAAGTTCATGACTATGAGAAGCTTCTCCAAGTTTCCCCATGTCCCCTCAAACAATGTTAGGAGTCAGGTTTGCACTGATGCCTGTAAACTCAGCACTCCGCAGGCTAGGGTAGGAGGATTGCCAGTTTCCAAGTCAGACAGGCTTATGAAAGTAAGGGCCTGTCTCAAAACAAACCCACACAATAATAGTCAACCAGAAAGGAAAGGAAGGGAGGTAAGAGTTGGTCTGCAGCTGTGCACCCAGCTGGTGTGGAGCTACGTGGCCATCAGCTAAAGCAATGAGCTCGTCCGCGGCCTTGAGAGAAACAGTGTCTATAGCACAATACTCTCTACAGAGCGGAGGTGGGATCTGAACCACTTTCCTTTCAGTCCAGCCTGGATGCTGGTCAAACCGGACGTTAGAAAGCACCTAGTAAGATGCTGTAGGCATGTTTCCCAAGTTCTCATCCTTGAGCTGGAATCTGGAAAGAACCAGCAGGTCCCAGGGGAAAGGCAGGCAAGGTTCTGGGGTAGCAAAGAGGGCCCTTGGCTCAGAGTCCAGGATGCTTTTTGATATTTTAACAGCTGGTATATCTAACCAGATAAATATTAATTTTTCTTCTAATGGCAAAAGGGGTGGAGAAAAGAACCTGCCAGCATTCACAGCTCTCACATCACAGAACCTGGGGACACCGGAGAAGGGGGCAGAGGGTTTTTAGTCTTTCTCTTCAGCAAAATAGAAAACTACAAACACTCCCAACTATTGCCTTGTGTGCAGCAGAGGCAGGCAGGGTAGCAGAGCGGGGAGAGGGGCGGTTCAGATGTTAGGCTGCTTAAAGTTTGGAAATACGCTCCCCTGCTAACAAGGAACCCAAGGCTGACATCAACCTGAGCTCTAAATGTCTGTGAACTGGACACAATATGAGTAACAGCCAAGCATTATTATTGCTGTTATTTTCCTGAGACAGGAGCATCCTGTGTAGTTTCAGCTAGCTTCAAGGTCATTATCCCTCCACCTCAAACTCCCCAGTATTGGAATTATAAACCTGTATTATCATACTCAGCTTTAAAAGTTAGTTTGTGAGGCCTGGGTAATTAATATTCATGAAATGCCTCAGATAAGGTCAGTATTATGGGAGATTCCCAGGAAATATTTATTTTTTACTTTTTTATCTTCCTTTTCATAAGAAAGGGGAAGTTTTGGGGAAAATACTGAAAGCTATTTTTTTGAAAAAAATCCTAAAATCAGGGGAATGACTGTGTATCACAGCTCAGTAGTAGGATTTTAGACATCCCCTCTTATACTGTACAGGGACAGGAAGGACAAACAGAAGGCATTAAATCACATTCCCAAGGGTCACCTCTTTAGTCTCAGAAGGGAAGCACAAGCCCAGTGTTCCTGCAGGCAAACTGAACTCTACGCAGTCAACCCAAATGGCCAGCAGCATACACCGAACAAAATGTATGGCCTGTGACATCAGGACCCTGAAAAATAAATAACTGCAGAGAACAGGAACAAAAATGACAATCTGAAGTGAAAGCAAGTCAATGATGCTTTATTTTTAATTCTGTGTTTATTTATTTGTTTGGCAATGACATCTTACCATGAAGCCCAGGCTAGCCCCAAACTCATGAACCTTCTGGCTCAGCCCCAGATGCTAGGATTATGAGCAAGTGCCTCAATGCCACTCAATGCTTCTGTTCTTCAAAAACATAGTATCTCTTCCTCTCTACTCAAGACAGCCTAAGACTGGTGTTGAACACTGCTTGAGAACAGGACGCAGGGCTAAACTGAGGATATGGTTAGGGGTCAAGGAGGATCAGAAAAAGCAGGAGAATCTTTTGAGCTTTTGGGAGGTTTGATTTTGTTTAGTTCTTTTCACCCGTCGCAGCCCCAGGCAGCTCTG